CAAGTCAGAATTCTGAGATACAAGTCAGAATTCTGACTTACAACTCAGAATTCTGAGATGAAAGTCAGAATTATACAAATCGAAAAAAATATTTTTGTGTGGCCCTTCAACGCTTTCGTACCAAAGAATTGATAGTATGACAAAATATTTTCGAATTTTGGAATTTCACTTTCATCGTAAATTTGACTCAAGTATTTTATCATTTCTTCCAGATCTGAACTGGATTGTCAATGAATGTTATGATATTTTGGCAGCCAAGTACACTTTGAAAACTGTTATAATTTTAGAGATCGACAATGGTTTTTTGAATGGCAAACTGGAATGTTTTCAAGCTGTTTTCGAGCGCTTCTTGATTTGAATTCAGCGTTCGAATGGTTCGATTATAATGATTGATTAATTGTTTTGATAGAGAGGTTTGAAGATTCAATTCGTGAATGATATTTTCTTGATTTTTTTCCAATATTGCAATGGTTTGATCGTAACGCTTTCCGTCATCAGCGTCAAGTGTTCCGAAAAGCCATTTATTGATTTTGTCGATTCCATTGATCATACCACGTTTAACACGAATATGTGGTTGAAGGTTATCCAGTTTTGTCTGAGTTGTTTGAATGAAATATTCAGTTCTCTGAAGCATATTTTCGGATAGACCATGGTAGGAAATTGGATTGGTAACATTTTCCTTATTGAAATTATTTTTGATTATATTGAAATATATTTTCAAGTTATTTAATTGATTGATAATTGGACTCAAATCGATGTAGTAAAGAAATGTATGTTTACTATAGATAATTTTAGCGTTGCGTAATTGTATGGGAAGAATGGGGTTATGAATGGTATTAATTTGAATGTCTTCGTCACATAGTACTTGGAGTACGTGAAGTATTAGGGTCAGGATTGGTAACCTCATTTTCGTCAGTTCCCTGTAACAAAGTTTTTTTGTTAGTCTTGGGCTTTCGGGCAATATTTTTGTGATAGGTCGCTTTGTTGGTTTTCAGCTTTATTTTTGTTTCCTTGAGTATTTTAGTCTTATTGAATTTGGGTCGGTCTTTTTGTCGTGCTTTGGTCCTGAAATATGCTACTTATTGATCAGAAAAATCGGGGGGTTCATCCTCAAGTACTCATAGTGACCATGATCCACATTAAATGCGGTTTTTTCGATAGAATTTTGGGCCATTTCAATTTGGTGGAACCCACTGGCCAGATCGAGGGTAGTAAAATATTGAGCACGTCCCAATTTATCCAATATGTCATTAATATTGGGGATTGGGTATCGATCATCTATAGTTTTTTCGTTGATTTTACGATAATCAACAACTATTCTCCATTTTTGTTTACCAGATGAATCGAGTTTTTTGGGCACGATCCAAATGGGGGACGACCACGGGCTACAGCTGGGTCGTATGATATTTTTCTCAAGCATATCGTTGATCTGACGTTGGACTTCTTGTCTGTGAACGTATGGATACCTATATGATTTGGTGTGTACCGGTATTTCATCTGTAGTCCTTATCTCATGTTTGATTTTTGAAGTAAATGTCAACTCATCTCCTGGTTTGAGAAAGATATCCGAATATTCTTTGCATACTCTGATTATAGCGGTCTTTTCCTCTGAATTCATGTGGTCAATGCGAATTAAGTCTGCGATATTCAGGTCGGCTTCGTTTGATACGGAATGGTCATCTGTCTGTCTGTCGGGGTTTGTGAAAGATTCGAGGGTGAATATTTCGTATGTCGAGGATACAAATTGGGTGACAGGTAGGGGTTCAAGTAATTTTACTGAAATCGTTTTATTGGTGGGGTTTTGAATTTCAATCGGGGCATATCCGTTTTTGGCAATAGTCAATATTTGGGGAATAATGAGATTATTCATAGTTCCTTCGATTGTCAAAATTTCGCCTTCGTACACACTCACTGGCAGATTTTTTATCATCTTTTCCAGTGGGTTTACTGAAAAGGAAACACTGAAATCTGAAGGTTGTCTGAATTTGAAAGGTATTTCAGTATTTTTTCCTATCAATTTCTTATTAATCAAATCGATATTGAGGTTCATGTTTATTAAATCTGTCAGTCCTAAAACGCCATCGAAATAGTCATGAAAATCGAATAAGATGAAATCAATTTCATAATCCGTATTGAATTCAGAAAAGGCTGGTATTGAAGCTTGATATCTGACCTTTCGACAACCAGTTGCCGTTTTTATANGGCATCGGGAGACAGGTATCTCATAGAACCCCAGGATCAGACTGACAAGACCTTTTGTTCTCTGTCACTTCCGGACGTCGACCTCTAAAGCTCTGGTTCCATGTGGAGCCGGACCGCGTACTACACAGTGAAGGCGAAAAGGAAATTTGGCACTTACAGTTATTTTGGTGTTTCAAAATCTTGTAGTCTCCAGTTCCTCCTCCAATGATTCTTTGTAGCCTCCAGAAGTAGGGTCGTTTCTTGGTCCGTTAAAATGATGAACATTGCCTCGCAAGTCCAGATAAGGATTTCTTGGAAAACCGCTGTCAGCAGATCATGTTTCCGTGAGAGCAGCAATCCGTGAGAACGGTCGTTCCATAACTAGCAACAAGTATCTATCAATCCAAACAGTGAACGTTGTCGTCATCATCGTTACAAAGCAATTCACAGAAGACATCATTGACGAAGAGAATTTATCCAAAGCCAAATTCATTTTTACATATATGGGTCACAGTTCTCAGGATTATCGCTCGTTGATAACATTCGGTTTTTCAGTTATGGAAATATGGTATACATATTCCATATAAATATGTGTTAACTCAATCGCTCCAAATATGGCCGAATTTCAAGTGAGTGTTTTCCTTCCGCAACATAACTTGCAAACCAACGAATGCAATTTGTATATATTCAGAGCTCTTTCTCCACCTACAAATATGTAGATGCACTATGCAGCCGG